ATAGCTCAAATCACTAGTACCACTGAACTGGATGGTACAGGCGCTTTGAAAGCCAGAAAATTAAAAAAGTTTACTCAACCACATTCAAGGTTTACTTTGAAAAATGCCCTAACCCACTTTGCATGCCCATGTTCCGTGAGACTTATGCACTCCTGGAGCTGTTGTTCAACAACAATCCATTTCTATATAGCACCAAGATATCCAGAAGGTCCTCCACAAAAGTGACCATCAAACACAATGTGAGCCACACGGTAAAATTCAGACAGGTGAGTCAAAGGGTAGGTTGTAAAAAGCCTCTTAAAGATGACGTAAGAGTTGGAGGAGGCAAGGTTTAGGGAGAAGATTCTACATTCAGGCCTTGACAACTGCATGCACAGTTACTGATTGTGCAAGAATTCGAGGGCACACACAAGCATTGGAGGCTGAGTGGTGACCTTATAGAGGTTTATAAAATCATGAAGGGCATGAATAGGGTAAATAGCCAAGGTCTTTCCCCCGGGGTGGGGGGAAGTCCAAAACTAGAGGGCATAGGTTTAAGAAGAGAGGGGAAAGATTTAAAAAGGGACCTGAGGTGTAACTTTTTCACACAGAGGGTGCTGTGTGAATGGAATGAGCTGCCAGAGGAGGTGGTGGATGCAGGTACAATTATTACATTTAAATAGCATCTCAGTGGGTATATGAATAAGAAGGGTTTCAGAGGGATATGGGCCAAATGCTGGCAAATGGGACTAGATCAGTTTAGAAATATTTGGTCGGCATGGACGAGTTGGACCAAAAGTTCTGTTTCCACGCTGTGTGACATGTTTACTGGCTGGTAAACAATAACCTTTGCCAATAAAGGCTCATTCAAAACAACCTCATGATTGAATCAAAAAGAACTGTGCTTCAATACACATTTTAGACTGTGGTACAAATCCCAAAAGAAATCTTTCTGCCTGTAAGCATGCAGTGCCCGTGTCTGGTTGCAGATTGAGAATACAACCAAGTGGTCAGCAGGGGCCTATCAGATCAAAGAATCAAACTGCACGACAAATTTTACAGGTGACCATTCAAAACTGAAAAACGTAGGTGGCACCAAAAACCATAAGCACACAAAATGCTGTATTTGAACAGAAAAGTATAGCTACAAAGCATTCAAATAAGAATACCTCTTCCCAGGTCTACCTTTCAATCAGGAAGCAAACTAGTAAAGCTACAATGATAATGCAGGGTTATCTGATCCCGTTTGGGGTCTGCGTGAAATCCTGACCATGATGGGTGTCTGTATTCTGTTTATTCAGATCACACCACCTGGAAAGAGTGTGATATCAACATCATCGTAGCTGTAATGCTCAAGAGTTTGGTGATGGAGCTAGCCTCGTGAAGAAAGGTATCACTGCAACAAGGCCTTTTGCATCACCCCAATACTGTCTAGGGTATGTCCAATCAGAAAAAGAAAATGGACTATCTAATCCAGTAAATTACTGCACAGTGTTGCCTAGCAAAATCTCAAAATGCCCTACTTAACATCATTGTGACAGCACCATCACCACAGAACTGCAGAAAGCAAGATTTTATTCACTTATAACCCATTCACTTAAACACACAGTTAAAATTCTTATTGCAACAAATGCATCCTTTTAGGAACTCCCCTTTTCTAAGACTGTTTCAAATGTAAAACAACCGCATTTCAGAATTCCACCATTTTATATCAGTAGCAGATCCTCTGCTACCTTTCCTTTACAATAAATCCCCTTCACTGACCTATTAGCATGTACAGCTTCAACACCATCCTCAAAGCACATCATTTGGACAAATGATACAGGGGTAGCGATTGTAACAAGGTCAGTCCGAGAATATGAGTTCCACGATTAGAACAGATTAACAGCCCCAGTCAGGGAGCCCTGGCTGACTATCCAGATCTGCCTGATCAGAGATACTGACACACTGATAGTTGATTCTGAACAGGTAGTACTGAAATCAAGGACTGTTTGTGTGTAATTAAAGGGTGACTTGGTGACAGGATACTGGCCTCTGTGGAGTTATTTAAACAGGCACATTCAAGAAATCTAGGTTCTAGCTTCCAAATCAGAAGCATCTAGGAAGATGCTGCCTAATGAAAATGCTTTATTTAAAAAAAAAGTGTGCTTTGCTGCAAAAATACCTTGCTCATGATTTAGCTGGCCACTAGCTGACAATGCAGAAGTACATTTGTATCCAGCTGAATATGCTGAAATATATCATCTGCTATAAAGTTTTGGCTAATAAAACATGGTAGGAGCAGCTAAATCATACTGAATACATATGATAAGGGAAAAATAATATGTCCTGGCTCAAGTTCTGTAAACAGATTAACAGTCTCAATTTCTTCTACACAGCACATTAATTTTAACCCAGGCTAAAAACATTATCACACCAAGAAATTTCTTATTATATGTCTGGAAAACAGATTAACAAGATTTCCGCAAACTTAAAATACATCAATCGTGGCAAACTGATTTTCTCAGAGAAGTATTCATTCACTGTTGAAACCATGGCTTTCTACATTGCAAATGATTATACTTCAATGTTTTGTCGGCTGTAGAGACCATTTTAGAACAGACTGAAGGGTGCTGCACAAACACTTTTTTTTAAAAACAGTACAATGAATAATGAACATGCTTTCATACTACAATTATACAGTAATCTGAATCTATGAAGGCACGAGGATTAAAGGTTTGTTAAGAATGCTGAAAAAGAGGAGAACTGAAAGTATTTTCCAAAGTTGAAAATGAGAAGGTTGAATCATTGCGTTTTTTTTCAAAACTAGATGAAGGATAAAAGAGCTGGAATAACTAAGTTATCAGTCAAGGTCAGTGTAAAGGATCAAGAGTCAACCAGCATTGTTCAAAACAGAGATGAACAGCTGTTGTGACAGAGTGTTAGTGACCCTACCTCTGGACAATACGTTCTGCTTTCAGGTCCCACCTGCCCAGATATATGTGTCATAACAGGTCTGAACGGGTAAGATTAAATACATAAATGGAGAAGAGATGGAGGATGTTGTGATCCTTTCCCCCGTAATTAAACAGGAGACTATTTAGTCTGCTCCACTATTCAACCAGATCACGACCGATATATGGTCATCATTGTTTACCCACACATAGATTTCATAAGAAATATGGATCAATTTATTTTGTTTAAAAACTGATTTAAGTCTTGAACTATTTAAAAGACCCAGCAGCCGCAGTCTTTTGCAGATCTCAATTGTCTGTGTAAAGTGCTGTCTGATCTCACTCCTGAATGTTCTAACTTTAATTTTTAAGATTATATCCTCTTGTTATGGATTCTATCATAGGAAATGGACTCCCTTGGTATTTCTGCGGTCAGGAACACAGGGTCACATTCTCAGAATAAAAGGAGTTGGCCATTTAGGATCACAATTTCAAAAAATGCCTCAACTCCACAGTCATTATCTTTGAACTTCTCTGCTTGAGAAAGCTGTGAATGTTCAGTCATTGGGCAAAATCAAAACAGAAGTCAAGAGAGTTTTGGCTAGAAACGGAATTAAGAAATGGTGCAACAAGTTGGATTTGTAGTAGAAGACATGGTCTAGTTGATTAGTGGAGAGGATTGGTAGGGGCAAATAGTCTACTCCTGTTTCTAGTCCTTATAATGTCCATATGGTCCTTGAATCCCTTAATGTTGTAAAGACTTTTTTTTAAATTCACTCATGGGCTGTGTATGTCAAATGCTGGTCCAGCCAAAATCACCCATTCCTAGTTGCCCTTGAGGTGGTGGTTGATTAGATCACCACTCAGCCTTCAAGTCACGTTAATGCGTTCTCTTTTAATAATTTAAAAAACTTTATGCCTCACCATTAGGCTTGTGAATTTACACTCTCCTCCTAAAATCATGACACCCTTCCTGATGTGTTTTGCCAAAATTGAATGCTGCAAGGAGGTCTGCCCAAGGCTACGAACAACTGAAACAGGGGATGTTTTCCCCCTTTTTATTCCAATCCCCTCGAACAACAGTAATCAATGAGGTGACAATAAATCATTTATGAAGCACCACCATAAAAAAGATTTATGTTTAACGAGACCAAACGTACAAATTAACAAAATGACAGTAATATTGACACTGCAGCCACGATGCTATCGATGACAATCGAACATTTCTAGCCTACACACAATAGCAACCATAACAAATTCAGAACGTTAGAAAATCTCTTTCCCACCAGCTGACCATTCATTACATCTCCCCATTAGTTAATTTATATTAAGTTAATTGGTTAACAATATTCATCTACACCAGGACAGTCCACCAGCATTCTAGTTTGCACTTCTACAAACCTAATTCAATAATAACACTGGCTACATTTAATGAGGCCATAAGTCATGTATATTGTACCAAACTAGGTAGAATTGGATAGAGTATAATAAATCTGTAACTCAATCAAGATTTATGTGAATTCAGGGCAGTTGGACGCAGTCAAGATGCAGATCCAAAATCTCACGGAACGCCTGAACAAGTAACTGACTGGCTAGTAAACCCTAAGAACAAACCTTAGCTTGTTTAAGGAAGGACGTTACAACTTCATAACCGTGATTCTATACATTTCACTAATTTGATAAGGATAAACACTGTTTACACATAACCATGTTCGCATTAACAGGCAGATATGGTCCCCGTACGGCAAAGGACACTGACAGAGGGCCCTGTCTGTCCTCTCAGTTAGGGAAAGATCTCACATTAGTGCCAAACAGGCAAGGAAGTCTCCAACACACATCCTTCAACAACATTGTTTGTGTAGTTGCAGTTGTGCGCGCCAGGGAACAACAGCTTCAAAACAGCTTGGGAAGCGTCCCCGCAAAGATGAGAGGCGCTACCTCAAGCAAGTGGTGTTGTTGTTTGCATTCCTTCCCTTCCGTGCAGGAACAGCTTCCTTCCTACGCCGGTGGCTCTCGGGGCCGGGGTGGGGGGTGTCTCCGGGCTGTTTGTGTTTTCTTTCCTTAAGGGAGAGAGAAGCGAGCACTTACCGAGACAAGCTCCGCTGGCCAGGGCACAGGCTGTCAGCGCTCCGGCCGATGCGCCGTAGATGTTGCTGGCGTTGTGGACCAGCTGCGGAGCGTGTTCCAACAGGCAACTGGCAACGCCGATATGGTAAATGCCCAGGAACCCGCAGCCGGCGAACGAGATGCTCCAGGAGGTCGAGTCTTCGGGAAGCAGCATCTCACTCAACAGCGTATTCGCGGGACAAGACAAGGAACCGCTCTGCTTCACATTTTCCAGCAGCCTCCTCTCTGCTTCCACCCCGCTGTCTCTTCTGTTTTCCTCTGTCCTCTGTTCCAATCAGCTCTGCTGTACACCCAGACTGACAACAACTTCTCCCCACCCCTCTACCAATCACTGTTACCGCCCCTCCCTGAAATCCTGTCAGCCAACAACCATTTCTACTTACAGAGCACTTGGAACCCACAGTGCAATGATCCAAGTCACTTTGCAGCAATATTACATCGTTTTGTTTTAATTCATTCATTCATTCATTCACAAGATGAGGGTGTCACTGGCCAGGCTGGCATGTGTTACCCATCCTTAATTGCCCAGAGGCAACCACTTTGCTATCACAGCGAGGCCAGACCGGGCAAAGTTAGCAGTTTCCCTTCCTGAAAGGACATCAGTGATCCGGCTGGGTTTTCACCACAATCGACAATGGATTCATGGACTTTTAACTCCAGATTCTTTATTGAATTCAAATTCCAACATCTGGCATGGCGGGATTCGAACGCAGATCCCCAGAACATTACCTGGGTCTCTGCATTAGCAGTCTAGCAATAATACCACTAGGCTGCTCTCCCCACTGGAACCTAATACACAGATCCCATATCACTTCACAAAGGTGTTACAAAGCAGAATTGTACATTCAGCTCCCTATATAGATATTATCATCTTTGGGTATTTCTGGACGAACAACTGAACAGAAAATTGAAAGGACTACTGTGCAAGGAATGAGCAGATTTCCCACGCCTGGATTTAGCAAGCCCAACAGACTCATTGTGTGCTGTGGCTATTCTGTGGCCAAAGGCATGGGTAGATTCCAAGGTTGAAGGAGGAAATTGGGCAGGAAAAACATTCCAGACTTTACGGGTAGGAGTCCAATACAGAAAGGATTAAAATCGGAAGTGGCCAAGAGGTTAAAATTGGACGTGAGTGAGGGTATCTCCCAGGACTGTAGATAAATTCTTGCTAAGTTCGTTTCTCTTCCATGTGACTCATGACATACTTCTATCCAACCTGTTTAAAGTGAAACTTATTTAAAAAGAAATTATCATTCCTTCCTCATTTTGTCGTACGCATATTTCCTCTCATGAAGTTGCTGACACAGAGGGACAGTTGACTCCACAGCTCCTAACTTCGTTCCAGGTGCTTGATTTCAATGCCAGCTGCCAAGTAAGCAATGACACAGATATTGCACTTGGACTGATAGCAATCTGCGTGTTTAATCACCATTACCACCAAACTCACAGCAATTTCCGCAGGCCACGCAAGTGCAAAAGTCTGGAAGGAGACGTGAATCTATGCTCCTCCCCAGAGTGCAATGAGCAATCTATGCATTAGCTGAAACTCCCTCCCTGTTACACCGAACAAAAACAAAAATCTTGGAAAACTTGCCACTTGTTCAGTGAAGTGTAACTGTCACACAACCATTTGAGCACACTACGTTGCACAATTCTAGCTTCCCGTACAGCTCCTTTACGAGACTTTCACGATTCCCACAGTCGGCCCAGTTAGGTGCTAAGATCAGGAATTCTCTCTCTACACTTCCTTTTTTTCTCTCGCCCTTGGGACACCCAAAATTCTACTACTTATTCAAGCTTTTAAGCGGTCACCTTCCTTTGGCCGAACGTCAAGATGCACCTTGAGACATTTATCTACATTAAGATCCAAACCTTCAAAACACTAATAACTAGTTTGTTGGTTCTTACGACTGAGCATTTCACATCTATACCAGTTAGGTAGATATGGGTAGTAACCAATAGACTGTGTAATATCGCTTATGTTTTGAAAACTTGGCTGAATACCTGTTCAGATTTGAGAAAATAAGGTAGCTGAACTTTCAAAATATGTTTTCAAGTGACTGTATCAACACTTATCAGCAGGCATTTCAGGTTATTCCACGGCCTCACCCCTCCCTATCTCTGTATCCTCCACCACAACCATCTGGAGGATTTGTTTTTCTAACAGTGGCATTTGTGTACAAACCATAAACTTGATTTCACGTACAACCAGATCCAATATTTGCGAGTCAGTTACAACCTTTTTTTTAAAAAAAGAAATATCATTAATGGAGTACAGGTTACACTGGCCAGGCCAGTATTTATTACCCATCCCTAACTGCCCTCGAAAATAGTAGTGAACTGGCTTCTTGAACTGGTGCAATTCACGTACTATAAACACACCCACACTGCTGTTTAGGAGTTTCAGGATTTTGACCCAGCAAGATTGAAGGAATGACAGGACTTTTCTACTTCAGGATGGTGAGTGGCTTAGAAGTGAACTGGTAAGTAGTGGAAGTCCTGTGTGTCTGATGTTCTTGTTCTTCTAGGTGGCAATGGTAATTGGTTTGGAAAGTGTTGTATAAAGAATTTTAGGGAATCTCTGCATTACACCTTGTCCTATTGTCCATCAGTAGTGGAGGGACCGAACATTAGAAAAGTTATTCCCTGACTCGAAGAAATATCAACAAGATGGGAGCAATTACTGCAGATGCTAGAATCTGAACTGAAATAAAAAAAAAGATGACCAGCTACAGGAAGGCAGGCGAGGGTCATGCTTGCGCATGGACTGGAGGTGTTCTGCAAAGCAGTTACCCAGTCTGCATTTAGTTTCTCCAATGTAGAGTAGGCCACATTGGGTGCAGCAAATACACCAGGTTGGAGGAAGTACAGGTGAAATGCTGCTTCACCTGGAAAGACTGTGTAGGCCCTTGGACGACAAACAGGGAGGTGGTGAAGGGGCAGGTGTTGCACCATTTTAACACAGCATCTTTCTCGAATGCCCGTGTGACTGTCCTCCACCTGCTGCAATGCCCCAGCACATCACAGCATAAACTGGAGGAGCAATATCTCACATTCACACTAGGCAGCTTACAACCTTCTGGGCTCGATATGAAGTTCAACACCTTAAAATTGTGAATCCATTCCTTCCTTTTCTTTTACCCTTGCTGGCTACATTCTCTGCCACCCTCTCCACCGCGCCCCACCCCCACACCCCCACCAAGTGGGACCGTGTTCCTTCCAGTCTGGCAGTTAGACACGAAGTTTCTTACATTCTCACATTCCGATCACTTAATCTGAAAAATAGACACGCTTTCTCCTCCAGCACCCCTACTATTGCATGAATACTGTCCCCTCAACACTTCACCAGCTCTGAAGTCATTTAAAATCAAAACATTACCTTTCTCCCTCTCCATGGATGCTGCCTGACCTGTTACCTCCAGCACTTTTTGTTTTAATATCAACAATACTTGGTATTATTAAACCGGCCAGTGACTCACAAGAAGTTTTACTTTCACCTTCACTTAGCTGTGCGACCCATAACTTTGGCTCGACAGTAGTTCATTCAGTTGTAAACACAAAAAAAGCATCAACGTTTCAAGAACATAAACAAAGTTGCTGGAAAAGCTCAGCAGTTCTGGCAGCATCTGTGAAGGAGAAAACAGAGTTAACGTTTCGGGTCCGGTGAGCCTTCCTCAGAACGTTTCAAGGCTGCCTTGCAAAATTCAGATAGCATGCCAAGTTTACACAAGTCTTCCAAACAGAAAAAAAGGACCTGTAGGAAATTAGGGAAAGATAGCATGAGAGATAAAGAGAGCAAAGGAATTAGCTACCAGTCTGCAAGGCTGCAGTTAGCATTCAGCAAACTCTCCAATACTTACTCAGGAGATAGCAAGAACTGCCGATGCTAGAATCAGATATAACAGTGTGGAGCTGGAGGAACGCAGCAGGCCAGGCAGCATCAGAGGAACAAAAAAGCTGATGTCTTGAGTCAGGACCCTTCTTCAGAAATGGGGGATGGGGAAGGGAGCTCTGAAATAAAGAGAAAGAGAAGGGGTGGGGCTGGAGAAGGCAGGTGGGATGGTGATAGGTGAGTGCAGGTAGGCAGTTGGGGATCGGTCAGTGAGGTGGGAAGAGTGGATAGGTGGGAGACAAGATGGACAGGTTGTGTCAGGTCAGGGAGGTGGGGGTGAGAGGGAGGGTTGCTCATGGGATGAGGCGGGGCGGGGATTTTGAAACTAGTAAAGTCCACATTGAGGCCATTGGGTCATCGGCTCCCAAGGAAGAACATGAGGTGCTGTTCCTCCAGTTCCCGGGTGGCGTCATTGTGACACTGGAGGAGGCCCAGGATGGACATGTCACCCAGGCAGTGGGAGGGGGAGTTAAAGTGGTTAGCGACTGGGAGGTGTTGTCGTTTGTCGTGAACCGAGTGTAGGTACTCCACAAAGCGGTCTCTGAGCCCCCGCTTGGTCTCCCCGATGTACAGGAGGCCACATCGCGAACAGCGGATACAATAGACCACATTAGCGGATGTGCAGGTGAACATCTGTTAAATGTGGAAGGTGTTTTTGGGTCCTGGGATGGAGGTGGAATGTGTAGGGGCAGGTATAGCACTTCCAGCGCTTGCAGGGAAAGGTGCTGGGGAGCGGACGAGGGAGTCGTGGAGAGAGCGGTCCCTATGGAAAACAGATAGGGGTGGGGAGGGAAATATATCCTCGATTATGGGGTCAAATTGTAGGTAGCGGAGAATGATATGTTGAATCTGGAGGGAGTGGGATGATATGTGAGGAGAAGGGGGAGTCTGTCTTTGTTTTTGTTACAGGGAGGGGAGGTGCAGGAAATGCAAGAGATGCGGTCAAGAGTACTTTCGACCACTGAAGGGGGAGGTTGCGGTCCTTTAAACAAGAGGACATCTGGGATGTTTGGGAGTACAGTGCCCCACCTTGGGAGCAGACACGGCGGAGAAATTGGAAGTCGGGGTTTGCATTCTCGCAGGAAGGTGGCTGAGAGGAGATGTAGTCTAGGTAGCTGTGGGAGTCCATGGGCTTGAAATAGATATCGGTTGAGGCAGTCACCAGAAGTGGAGATAGAGGGGGTCTAGGAAGGAGAGAGGTATCAGATAGTCCAGGTGAACTCGAGGTTGGGGTGAAAGGTGTTAGTAAAGTTGATGAACTGTCCAATCTCCTCATGGGCCTCATCCCATGACCAATTTTCCCTCAGCCCCACCTCCTTGACCTGACACAACCTGTCTGCTCCTCCCACCT